AGCCTACATTTCATGAATCTTATGTCATAAATGACGCCATTGTTGGAAAACAAGGAGAACTCTTCTGTCTTCAAAGATACGTTATAAAAGTTGCCTAATTGGATATATTTAGATGTAAATAATTTTTTTTTAAATTTATAGATTATCTACTTTGACTGATATTTCTCTCAAGCCCACTGGATCCATGCACATCAATGTAAAGGTGGTACTCGCAAGGGACCTCAATATCAGGGGGCGCATTCTCCCAGGGCGCTGCTTTTCCTTTGCAAGGTTGTGCATCCATTACGGATTAACGCGGCTAGAAATTTGAGGGTGGGGGTTATGTGGGCATTGTTTGTTAAAACTTTAAATAAAATTGTCAATTTCCTTTCTTAAAATTTGTGACAGTTTCAATTTCTTTCTCAATAAATAGCTGGTAATTTACTAATAATAAGAGGCAAAAAGCGGGAAAGTAATGAAATATATGTCATTAGCGAAATAAACATCATTGCAAACAGATGACTAACAAAGCAACTTGGCTCCATCCAGATACATAAAATCACTAACACTGCCTCTCATTTTACTCACCACAAACCAGAGTCAACTGAGGTGGCATCTAAATAATTAAGTTCCATCTATCAAATTAGAGCTGACCAACCACAGACCATTTAAATAGCTTATTTGCCTACTATGACTCACAATTGTCGAGAAAAAAAGTCAACCCACTTGCATAGGAAGGGGGCTGTGGAGGGGGTGGTCGACACAGGTGCCACTTTTAAAAAAAATTATAGTGAGGGTCGGCATTTTCGACGAGCTGAAGAGTTTATTTTATTTTTTTTAAAACTTAGTTGTAGTGGGTGGCACAACTTTCTAGTGAGCATATCGCAAACATAATCCCTGGTCCGCTTGTAACGTTTCCCAGATCTGCTCATTATGAGGACACGTTACACATAACCCAACGCTTGGAAATTGGTCGCTCTCTGTTGTTGGTGGAATTCTATTACGTAGCCGAGTCTCTCGCTTCGCACTATTTTTTGCCCATGCGCCGTTTCCCTGGTCTGGTCTGCTGATTACCAAAGTAATTCTCTTACTCTTAAACACTAAAGTAATACGTCGGCTTAGCTAGAGCGACGTGGCCTGCACGGCTTTGCCATGTTTCAGTTTAGTAAGGCTGTGGGCAGCAATGCAGTCGCCGCGGCTTACCTGTGTATAGGTTTGCCATAAACTTTATGGTTTGTGTCCGTGCAAATGAACGCAGGACAAGTAAACTCACAATTACCATAACACATCCAAACACACTTAACACAGGACTAGTGAACCAACGGACAAGTTAACACGCAGAAAAGTGATTACCGGTATATAGAACATAGACAGCTGAACCCAACAACTGGGTTTGAAAAGGCCTTGCCGAGATAATCGTCATTCTTGACTTGTTCTTGTAAATTTATTTCACTGCTAAATCGCAATTATTGGTTCCGAAAGATTTCAGCTACTTTTATAAATATGTAAATGTTTTTAATGTGCTGAAAAATATTTTACAAAATTGTGTAAATAACCATTTTTATTATATTTCTTGGGCAGATTTTTGTTTCCTAAACTAAGTCTATTCTTATTAAAAAACATTAACATGTTCTACAATATTGTTTAACATTTGTAAAAATATCTAGAAAATTCTTATCTTTTATGATAATTTCACATTGATATGCTTTAAATTTCATTTTATTTGACTCATATATCTAATATTGCTTAATTGAATTTTTTTCTCTTTTTAAAGTGGTCCACTCAGAATTTTCCATTTATCTCTGACGTCAAATGTATTATGAGGAAAAGTTTTATTACCACATGTTTCAAAATTTGCAAGGTTTTTTTCTATTATATTCTCTACATAATGATTGATGTTTTTTTAAATTTTTATTACATGTCTCATAAACAAAATTCCGAACTTTTTGTGATCCTATTATTTTTATTAGGCTCGAGGCTAGTGGGTTGTTGGGAAAATGCATTAATTTATATTCTATCAATTATATCTATGTACTTAAATTGTTTGTTTTTTTAATTAACGAGTGGAATGTGTTCATGATGTATGCATCCAATGTTGTTCAAGTAACCTTTAACTTTAAATTTTTTTAATAAGCATTTGTCAGTGTCTTTTTCAGCTTTTATCGATATAGCATTTTCATTTTTTTTTCTGACTTCAATTGATGAATCAGGAGGAATAGTTTTGAAACTACATAATTGAAACTTTGCATGCTTATTTATATTGAAATTCTCTACTTAATGATGGATGGTTTTTAAACAAATATCTCAAAGGAGAATTTTTTAATTTATATTTTTTTTTATTAGGTTCGTGTGTTAATTTTATTTTTCTATCTTTTCTGTCTTAGTTTTCTTATTGTTTTTTAATTCATGAATGGTATATGTACATGGTGTATGCATCCTATATCGTTCATGCAGACCTCTAATTAAAAAAACCCACAATTTTATACTTTTTTTTCATTTTTCTCAATTTTGCATTTTCGGATTTTTTAGGAACGCCAAATGAATTGGGAGGAAAAGTATTCTAGCTACAGCCTTCAAACATTGCATGCTTCTTTTCGTTTATATTCTTTACAAGATTCAAGAGGCTTTTTTTTTATATACCGGGTATATCCAACTAGAAAAATTTATAACATTTTTACATTTGCTACTCCTGAAGAGTCTTCGAATATTTATGTGACCCCCACTTACATGCCATTTGTAATGTGACACCCACATACATGCCATTTGTAACATTTCCAATAACTGCTGTGTAATAAGCTTCTTTAAACTTTATGTCAATGTTATTCTTAATGTGTATGCCAAGTTTCATTTACAATACTGTACAATAAGTTACAATATAATGCAATACAAAGTTGTCTTTATTCATTTTGCGTAAAAGTCAAATTGGTATAAAATGTGTAATTTTTTGCAATAAAAGTCACAACAAATAAAAAGAAAAAAACTTTGGTGGATTTTTGTCTTTCTGTTAGTGTATGGTTTGTATGAACTATATTTTTTTCAATGGTTCTATAATTTATTTAGGGTTATCAGTATTTTATTTTCAATGTGGCATGACTTAGTTGCTTTGAAACCAAACTCCCTTCACAGATCACATATATTTGCTCCCACTCAAAAATTACATCTGTACTTAAATGAAGAAATGATACAAACAATAGTTAACTGTACGGGTACCAACAAGGAATGTGAGAAAGTAAAAGGAGACAAATGGCAAAGGAATGATGTGACCTAATTGAATGAGTTTATTGGCTGCCTACTCCTTACTGGCCCCTAATTTATTTTATGGATTACTTGAGTACACAACTCAAATAACTAACAACCAAACAAAAATGTTCTCAAGTCAAAAAGGTTTTGTTTTTCTATTAAATTTTAAATTATGTACCAGTGTGTTAGACCCAGTACACAGCTAAGTTATAAAAAAAAAAAGACGAGTCCTCCAAAAAATAAATCTCTTTCTCAAGCATTATACAATGGCATCTTTTAACTTTAAGATGTTCATTGCAACTACCTTGTAAATTAGGTCAAGTCAAATGAGAAAAGTTGTTGAAAAGAGATTCGAGATATCAGGGAAAAACAGTCAGTGTCCGCATGTATGACTCCCAGTGCCAAGGAAAAAGTTTAAAATTCGTGGTTTTGTTCTGACTAAGCCAAGCTCTCTAGAGGAATAGTTGAAATTAATTCATTATGAATGAAATTTTCATTATTTAGAATACCTAATTAATTCATAAAGTATTGTGTAATTAAATCTTTTAACTTAAACAATACACATAAATAATCTTAAATAAAGGATTTAATTTTAATAATTAAATTTAAATTATTACTTTTATAAAATTCAAATGAAAACAATAAATGTATCTAAATCATCTTCATTACTAGATTTTTAAAAAAATGATCTACGAAAATGGCTTAAACTAATAAAGAAAATAAGAAAGAAAAAAAAAATCTACCCGTCCTAAGAAAAATTAATGAAGCAAAATTAAAAAAAACTAAAAAGAATAAAACTATGAATCTTTGAAATAACAAGGAGAAAAAACAATTTAAAAAAAAAAAATTCTCACACTATTATTAGCATTATTATTATCACACCCGGCTCCGAAGCCATTTAATCTGTACGGAGCCACTCCGGGTGCGAATAGTTATTGACAACTATAGGTACCCGGTTACCTATAGATGCAGCCTTTTTTTAATCGTCGCTTCAGACACAGTGTGATGGTGACCTTGTCACGTGACCCTCGAAATGTTAACATCGTAGTCACAGCACACTTGCATGTTAACATTTGGAGTGTCATGTTACAAGGTTCCCATCATAATCTGTCTGAAGCGACGATTACAAGTATTTCTGTCACTCTGATCGAAGACGCGGTAGAGTCTATTCATCCGCTTGCTGTAATTTTTTCGTGGCACAACTCACTTAGCATCGTCTCACGGCTCACCCACGTATTCACCGTTGAAGATATCCTTGGTCATTTTTGTATGTGAAGGACGAACATTACAACAGGGCTAGTGTCACGGGTGCCACTCGGACAAAATCTTTGCCCCCCCCCCCTCCCTAAAAAAAAAACAAAAAAACTCATAGTGGGTCTATGATTAGTTTTTGTTAAACAAAATATGTCTGTCACTCTGATCCGATGGTGGATTTAAGCACTTAAGGAAGTTGTGTGTTAATGCAAGAACGAAAAAAAAAAGAAAAAAGATTTTGATATTTTATTCTCATTTTTAATTAATTTGTTTTTTTCACCTGAGGTTTTTATTCTCTTTGAACTTGATAAACCGTGTAACTTACGCGTTGCTCTGGTTTTGATTTTGCTTCCCGAAGTTACTATTTTATACCATGTTCAGAAAGGAAAGCATTTATGACGTAACACTTAAATGGCATTTATTTTTAGTAACCAAGTATAAGAGCGTTGAGAGAAAATGGTGGGCGAAAAAAACGCCAACAACAGTTTGACACTAAAATAAAAGATTAACTCATTACTTCCAGGGTTTAGGTAAGATTATTGTTTAATTACTATTCTTATAACACAAGTTTCCAAGAAATCCTGGTGAAATATAATTTAGACAAAATTTAGGCCCTATTCAAATGGGAAAAAAAAAAGTTTGTAGGGTATATTAATTTAAATATTACTTTAAATAAATTATATAATTTTATTATTTGGAAATTAAGATGAATTTAATCAGAGTACAACAAAATTAATTTATGTCTGGAAGGTTAAATTTGTTCAAATTCCAGGACCAAAGTCTGGGATCAAAAGGATCAGATCTTAGAACAGTTTCAATGGTTCCTTCGTCCTCAGGGTCTGTCTCAAATTGAACAATGCTTTCATCCATTCTTGCAATCCACGCCGTAATTTCCTGGATTCGCTTTTCAGCGCTCGTCATTCGAAGCGCATCAATGACATCACTTCCTGTTAAAGTTTTGGCAGAGCCGGGTAGCGACCGGTATCCATCGAATAATTTCTTGAGCAGAAGTGGATAATGAGATGAATAGAAGCGAATGGCTTTCAGCTGATCTCCCTTGAACGAGAACGGCTTTAGTTCTTTCCCTTTCAAAATTATTTTAAACAGATCGCTGTTCTGTGGGACGGATTGGGTTGGCTGCGTTGTGGGACGTCTTAGATACGGCTGTCCTAGGCAGTTTTGTGGGATTACTTTCAGCTTTGTGGTTGCCTCGTTGTCTTTCTGCCCCGTCCCTGGAACATTTGCGTCGTCTCTGTTTGCGTGAACTTCTTGTTGTGGATCCGTTCGTTGGGTTTCTGTTAATCGTTTATCGAGGTGTGGCAGGCTCCAGCTGTGCTTGTTCAAGCTTAGGATGCGAAGGTCAGCAGTTTGACGCACAAGTCTAGGAGAGACGCCAAGGCTGAAAGCGGGTCGTTTGTGAACTATGGTCGATGTAAGGGACTGTTTCTCCAGGGGAGGCAGAATTGGGAGTTCTGGGGGGGGGGGGGAATAAAGCTGCGGTCAGTGAAAATTTGTTTATCAGTAAAGGCTGAAACGACATTACATCATAGCATTGTGCGTGATGCTAAAATTACATCATAGTATTGTGCGTGATGATAAAATTACATCATAGCATTGTGCGTGATGATACAATTACATCATAGCATTGTGCGTGATGATACAATTACATCATAGCATTGTGCGTGATGATAAAATTACATCATAGCATTGTGCGTGATGATACAATTACATCATAGCATTGTGCGTGATGATACAATTACATCATAGCATTGTGCGTGATGATAAAATTACATCATAGCATTGTGCGTGATGATACAATTACATCATAGCATTGTGCGTGATGCTAAAATTACATCATAGCATTGTGCGTGATGCTAAAATTACATCATAGCATTGTGCGTGATGCTAAAATAACATCATAGCATTGTGCGTGATGATACAATTACATCATAGCATTGTGCGTGATGATACAATTACATCATAGCATTGTGCGTGATGATAAAATTACATCATAGCATTGTGCATGATGATAAAATTACATCATAGCATTGTGCGTGATGATACAATTACATCATAGCATTGTGCGTGATGATACAATTACATCATAGCATTGTGCGTGATGATACAATTACATCATAGCATTGTGCGTGATGATAAAATTACATCATAGCATTGTGCGTGATGATAAAATTCAAGATTCGCCACAAACATTACGTTCTGGGGGCAAACAATAACATCAACATCAAAATAAACTTGATAAAAGTTTATGAAGAGTGGTTTTCGTTGCTTGCTTACAGTGGCAACAAGAATGCCCCCCAACGATTTACCCGCAAGGTGTAGGAAATATATATTTAAATATGAATATGGATGCATGCAAGCAGAACTAATTACTTTAATTGTGAACATATTGTGATAAACCGCGCTAATTACAGAATAACGTGTGCATTACCGAATTTAAAAAAAATTATACAAGCAGAATTAGAGAAGCCTACATTGTTACGATAAGGGGACAGCCCAAAAGAAGCCTACATTGTTACAGCAAGGAGGCAGACCTAAAGAAGCCTACATTGTTACAGTAAGGAGGCAGACCTAGAGAAGCCTACATTGTTACAGTAAGGAGGCAGACCTAGAGATGCCTACATTGTTACAGTAAGGAGGCAGAACTAGACAAGCCTACATTGTTACAGTAAGGAGGCAGACCTAAAGAAGCCTACATTGTTACAGTAAGGAGGCAGACCTAAAGAAGCCTACATTGTTACAGTAAGGAGACAGACCTAAAGAAGCCTACATTGTTACAGTAAGGAGGCAGACCTAAAGAAGCCTACATTGTTACAGTAAGAAGGCAGGCCTAAAGAAGCCTACATTGTTACAGTAAGGAGGCAGACCTAAAGATGCCTACATTGTTACAGTAAGGAGGCAGAACTAGACAAGCCTACATTGTTACGGTAAGGAGGCAGACCTAGAGACACCGGCATTGTAAGAAGTCAATAACCACGGCTAATTATAAAAATGTAATAAATTAGAAAGTTGCATGATGCTGTCAGGCAATATCGTCTACTAGTTATAAAAAAAAAATAATAAACAATGGAAAACGTGTCTCCAGTCTCAATATGTGCTGCCATAATCACTGGCGTCTCTAAGGCTGTATTGGGGCCGCACTGGGGTGACACAAACCCCTGTTAACGCCTGTGGCCATAACTTTCTACAAACAGATTCAAATAAATTTAAAAAAAAAAAAAATATATANNATATATATATATATATATATATATCCAAAATAATTTTGAATAATCCCAAAAAGTTGAATTTAAAGAGAAAAAAAATTATTCAGTATAAGTGCATGGTTTAACTGGCACATTTTCTCAGTTTCATACAAGAGTGTCCTCATTTAAAAAGACATACAATTTTAGTGTAATATATTATATTACACAAAAAATAAAATTTTCTGTATCAATATGTTTAGAATTGAAACACTTTTCTAATAACCCAACCTTTATATATTCGGGACCCCATATAAAATGTTTCAATAAGTCTGACAGGCCCTTACAAAAGTAATAACTCATTTTTTTTTTAAAATTAAAAAAATGGACTTTAAGTGTTTAAAAAAAAAATTATTGAATTACAAAATGGGGTTTTGACCTTGTTGTGTTTTTATAATATAATCATTAAGTAAAATCTTAAATATAAATATATAACCATTCTTATCATATGATATCTTACAAAACAACGGCTCCCGTATTCTTATAATCATTTTTTTTTTTTGGCAACCTATGAAAAGCAACTTTGCACACCAGTTTGGGAAGACCCGTTGAATGAATCATTCAAACTCACAAATCTCGTACCGGTATCCGGAAATTTTCGACGGTAAGTTGATCGACGGTAATTTGATCGAACGGAAATTTGGTCAATTTTTTTTCTCTTTCAGTTTTTATGTTAAAATTGTGCTTCAAATTTCTTTTTGAACGCATTATTTTGTTTTACTATATAGTATAGTGCGTTCAAAAAGAAATTTGACGAAAATTTTAACGTGTGAACTGAAAAAAAGATTCGACCAAATTTCCATTCGATCAAATTTTCGTCGGTCAATTTACCTTCGACGAAATTTCTTGCGATCAAATTTACGGTAACCCACAAATCTTACTCCTTCATTAAGAAAAAAAAAAAGGTATCACGTAACTCTTCTTCGCGCTGTCCGGTGTGATTGTTTTAGCTACCCGTCCTGCCAGTCATTCGTCTTTTATCGTTGAGTCATGCGTCAAGTTGTTTTCATTGATCACGTGAGCCTCAGAGGCTCACAAGCTATTATCCCTTCCTATGTTACTGTTATTACTATCATTTAATTAGCAAAAATGACCCACCATGTCTCGCAATTCTCAAAGGAGATAATTTGTCTGCACGTCTCCACTGTTCCTCCATTTCAGTTTCAGTTGTGTTTTATGATCGCTGTGATCCCGCCAATCTGAAATAAAAAAAATTAACGTAATCCCTGGGCGTCTAGACGGTGTGGGTGAGGGGGGGGGGCAGAACACTTGCTTCCAATCTGAGTTAAGGTTGGGTTGGGGTGGGGTGGAATTTCTCCAGGTTAAGAAATTAATATGGGAACGAAAAAAATACAACTACTTAATATATATTTTTTTTTAATTTGAGTTGAAAAAAAGGAAAGTGGGGGGTGGGGATGGTGAAGTTTTTTTGTTAGGGGAAAAAAAATCTCCATTGACTGGCAGGCTTAGGCCAAATTAATCTCCAACCGTCTAGTAATAACTATGGAACGATACGGTACGTGTTTGACAACACCGGCCTCTCGTATGTTCGATTAAAACTTAAGAGCAATTATAGGCCTACTAACTAAGTTACTTAAGAAAATCAGCCAACTATCGAGCCTACTAAGATTCATTTAGAAATCACTGGGTTTGATTATAAATTAATTTTCTTAAAAAAAAAAAAAAAGTTAAATAGTTTGTTAGCAATATTAATCATGAATAGTCAACAATGTTTTGGCACTGTTAACTGCACGTTTTTGTGTTACTAATATTCCCAGAGATCGTAGTGAACTCACGAATTAAACACAGATACCATGACTGGCATGACCACTAGAGCATAATATACCAAGTTCAAGGTCGGGGGAGGGGGTTGGCTTCCACCTCTCAGGCGGGAGATATACGCCTTTGAGTCGTAGCCTAAATTATAACAAATAAAATTTTAATCAAACCATACGAATAAGCTTTTTAAAACTTTTCGTAGTTAAGATCACCAATATTACTAAATTCCTTTACAATACACAATTTTGAGGAAAACAAAAACGACAACCAAACCAAAAGTTGACTAACCGTGTATAGGAGGAGGTGACTCTAGTTACAAACACAGCTCAATTTAATATCACAACCAAGCGACTCACCTTATTTGTACATGAAAAAAAAACAACAACCAACAACAATTCTATGTTAAGTATTGATACAACATTCCTTTCATGTTCTGCTCTAAAACACAACAAACGGATCAATATAACGACACCCTAGACTTTATCTAAAAAGATCAACTCATTGCTTGCTAACTGACTTACCACTAATACTGGCTTAACACAAATGTAGGACTCTAAACTGTTACACCACGCACCCCCCCCCCCGAAATTACTCCACGGTCGTCACGCATCTATAGATTTTCAGATCATTATGTGTCCATGAAACAAAGGCTGACTTCATATCCTTAAGTGTAGATATTCGGAACAAGAAATCAATAATTAAACTAAAACCAGTTACAAAATTGAAATTTGGTGTGTGCGTGTGTGTGTCCCTAGACTTTATCTAAAAAGATCAACTCATTGCTTGCTAACTGACTTACCACTAATACTGGCTTAACACAAATGTAGGACTCTAAACTGTTACACCACGCCCCCCCCCCCCCGAAATTACTCCACGGTCGTCACGCATCTATAGATTTTCAGATCATTATGTGTCCATGAAACAAAGGCTGACTTCATATCCTTAAGTGTAGATATTCGGAACAAGAAATCGATAATTAAACTAAAACCTGTTCCAAATTTGAAGTTTGGTGTGTGCGTGTGTGTGTGTGTGTTCGTGGGAGTGGGTTGAGGGTGCATTACAAAACGTATTAACTGCTAAGTCAGATGTTGTTCAAAGAGTTGTTAACTTATTGAGTAAATACACATTGTGGGGAAAGATATGTGGACTTGAACCAATTTTATTTTCCTCGTTTCCACAACAGTAAGACAATCCCCCACCCCACCCCCCAAACCAATCCTGAGAAGCTAAAGAACTACACAAGGAGCGTGTGGGAATAAAATATGTATTTTCGAAGTATTTAATGCCTGTGTTGACCAGATGGTCGCTTATGCAGTGTAATACTCTTGGCAGTGATGGGCCCAAGTTCCAAGTGTTGTTCTCTATAAGCGTAACTTAATAATTCACTTAAGATGTGATGGAGATGTCCCACTAAGTATTTATAGGCGCTACTGTTGCCAAGTTGCATCTTCCACAAATGATGTTCCCTTGGCTTACCCGGGTGCTGGGAGGGAAGCGATTTGCTGTCTAAGGAACCAGCGTATACTACTGAAGAAAATTCCCAGGCCTTGTGATTTCGCCCTCTTAGTACTCCTTCTTAGCTAGTGACTATACTCACTGGCACTGTAGCGTCTTAACACATTTTTATATATAATCGTGGTGTTATATGACGTAAAGGGTCATCTGATCCTAATCTCATTTTAGTTCTCACCCCAGACCAGTGAGATCAACAGGAGCTTGTGTAACGAGGAGTGGGGAGGCGTGGAAGCAGGGCCGGACCTAACAATCGCGGGGCCCAAAGCGAAACGGATTGCGCGGGGCCCAGGCTGGGTTGGGATAAGGATAATAAGTGAAAATTAAAATTTTTGTATTAGAAAATAAAGTGCGGGCCCACTGCGGCCGCATAGGTTGCAGTGGCCTAAGGCCGGCCCCTGCGTGGAAGGACAATGATGCTATCTAAAGACTAAAGAGCGAGGTTGTGGTGTTCGATTGGAGCCTTCGCTAGAGTAAAAGTTAAGCTCATGCCTACTACGTATATGAATTTATAGTGGAAACTATACTTAATGTGCCTATACATGACCATATGAGACACTCTGTAAAAGGGCTTCCGCATAGGGTGTATTTCAACTAACAGACATAGGTGCAAGCCTCGTCGTTGTTCCTTCAAAAACCTGCCCTCTAGCTGCTCGCTTCGTCGGGGCCTCAAGGCGGCATGCACGGAAGAAACACTCTATGCATAGGCTATACATTTACCCCGATACGTTAAATTTGATAAGCTAATTATGTGAATCTCTTTTCACCTTGAGAATTTTGTTTTTAGGTTTGGAGCAAGGATTACGGGGCCATCACGCTACGAATTATGCATTTTAAAAAACATGGTGGGGGGGGGGGAAGAGGAGGGAGATTGGGAGGGGGATGCATTTAAGACGATCAATTGTGAGGGCTACTAGATTATGTTAGGACAAGGGTCTCAAACTCAATTCATCCGGGGGCCGCAGGAGGTAGAGGCTGAGTGAGACAGGGTCGAATTAAGTATCCACCAATAACAAAAAAAAAAAAGCGATTACAATTAAGTACAACTGTTACAATGTGCTCAACCTTTATAAATAACAAATAAAAATATCAAGGCTTCACTTTCTTCCTCCTACTCATTGTTGCCAGAGACCTGGAAGCACTTCTTCTTACACAAATGATCATCATTTGACCATAGGGAGGAAGCAACTGAGACCTTCAGTATAGCTTGAAGATGCTTATCAGTAAGTTTGACCGTGAATTTTGACTTGTTAAAGTTCATAGTGGAAAAGAGCTGTTCTCCCAGATAGATACTCCCAAAAAGGCACATTATTCGCTTGAACAACCTGGAAATCTCAGGGAAGGTGGTGGGCAATGCTCTCATAAAATGTCCATGCTTGTTTGTTTTTCCATTCACCCCCCCTGAACTTAGCATTGACTTCAGAATGGCACTGAAGATCAATCAGCTCCATTTCAAGTGCAAAGGGTTGGGGGAAAGGGGGGGGGGGAATTTTCCATATTGAAGGAGAAAGGGCTATCAAAATTTTGCCAAGTGGCTCTGTGTGTTTTGAAACATGTGATCAAATTCTTCCTGCAGCTTTGCAATGGCATCAGTATACTTACCACTGAATGGTGTGCCCAAGTCCGTTAGTACTTTGCATGTTGGGAAATGGCAGAGGTTTCTATGAGACCCATAACACAAGTTTTGTGCAGAATGCCCTGACATTGTCATAGGCAACACTGACATGCTGCCTCTGGTCTTGTAACTTCTTTGTTGAGTACATTCAGCTCCTGTGTCAACAATAAAAGCCGAACCTATCAATCATTTGGGATCACTTAGTACAGGAACAACCACCCCTTTCCTCTCCATGAAGGCTTTGAAGGCTCAAACGTGTTCAAACAATAGGGAGGATTCGGCGATATTTATGTATTATTGATGTGAGGGAAGCTGCTATTGTAGGGAGAATTAATTATTTATTTTTTTAAATCGTAGAAATTGGCTTTTTGACTAACCCTATTTTGAAAGTGACCAAACTCACAGGCTCGGAATTTTCATCACTTGTAAACACTAGCGACAATTTTAATTGAGATTATTTGATACCATGTCAGATTGCTTCGATTGAGACACTTGTTACGATTTTCACAATTATGGTTCTGCATTGCCCACTAGCTGACCTTTTTCAACTTTTCTCAAAAATCGCTCTTTGGCTATGTTTGTCTTATACACATGCTATAAAATAAAAACTTTTAGTTCGATTTAAAAACAGTTTTTACAATTATAACCAACGTCCAAACCTAAGCAAACATAATACAAATCAGAATTAGACTAGTCTGTGAGATTCGACTGAAACCGTCACGGAGGGTTACATTATAGATATGAGAATGGGGAAAACGCGCGGGCCGCATTAACACTAAACTTTGCTGTCAGGTAGCGGGCCGCAAATGGCCCACGGGCAATGTTCCCTCTAAGGTTTGCTGGTTCGTGTGCAAACTCATACAGTTGTGGGCAAAGTTTTCCAGCATCAATTTTTTTGTGTGCAAAATTTTACAGCCCACAAACACACACTTACATGTAAATTTGCTACGCGGATACTCAAAACTGCTGCGCTGGGTCTGTGAGATAGCTGCGCGGCCGCGCAGTCACGCAGCTTAAAGGGAACATTGCCCAGGGGCCGCGAGTTTAAGACCCCTGTGTTCGGAGATGGGGAAAGGGGTTCCGAAATTGGGCCAAAAGTATTACGTCCTTATTGCTGACCCTTATGGCATTGAAATTTCAAACTGAAGCTGTTGAATGAATGAGTCTGACGAGTGCACGAAATCTAAGTAATTGTCAATACAAGCAATATAATTATTATATCATTTAATTAATGCTTACTTTATAGCAGCGGTTCTCAACCTGTGGGTCGCGACCCCTTTGGGGGTCGTGGTACCCTTTCCCAGGGGTTGCCTAAGACCATCTGAAAACACATATCCTTACAGCTATGAAGTAGCAACGAAAATAATTGTGTGGCTAGGGGTCGCCACGACACCAGAAACTGTATAAAAAAGGGTCGCGGCACTAAAAAGGTTGAGAACCACTGCTTTATAGCTTTGATTCAAAGTTTGAATGAATTGTAAATTACGAATAAATTAATGCTAACTTATTTTTTTATTCATTATAATGAAAATAGAATACAATTGCAATAATTGTAAAAGTATTTAAATTTAATAAACTACAAGTTTAAATTGTTTTTTGTTTTTTTTTAAAAATAATTTTGCTTGTGACATTGTCATTGTGATGTGTTAAATTTACAGAAAAGTTATCAGGAAATATGTAGAATTTAGGTAGCCTATTACTATTACATAAACATGAGTAACAAAATGCGAAGATAATGTCATGATAATGTTCATGTCTTCTATTTGTTTTCTAAACCTTTTTTTTAAATAAAAAAAAGATGATGATTAATTAAATCAGTAATTAGTGTCAGCATTGTTTTGTACTTTTTGTAGACAACTTTTTAAGAATAAAATAAAATGGCGAACTCTTGCGTAAACAGCTGTTGCCAGTGATGATTTATTTACATTCTAATATAGGTCAATTCTAAACAACGGTGATTTTTAAAAAAAAAAGTTTCCTTATCATATTTAGGCCAAATTAAATCAAATTGTCTCAATTGCTTTTGATTCAATCACTGATTGAGTGATTGTGTTCTGTAAAGTTTTTTGGCTTACCAAGTTTTTTAAGTTAAATTTCCTAGCTAGTGATTCAGTGACTAACTCTCTCACTCTCATCACCACACTGTAGTCTGTAGTCTGAGACTGTAGTCTGTATGTAGCCGAAGCGTATTGTATGTACGTATGAAGCGTATTGTATGTACGTATGAAGCGTATTGTAAATTTAAGTGTAAATGAGTAAAATTCACAAACGTTCCACTACTGTTGTTATTAGTATTAGACGTATTAATATTAGTCTTATGTCTATGTAAATTCAGTAAACAAGCGACTTGTCAAAGTCAAATGTGTGCTTCACTTCAGTGAAAAATGTGTGTGTAGTAACAGTGTGTAAGTGTAGTGCAATTTAAAATATAAAAAAAAATTGACTGTTATTATCTATTATTATTTAAGGGGGGACCGGTAGTCAACTTTACGTAAAAATCATGTTTTTTTGTTTTTTTTCAATTTTCCAAAAAGTGTATATTTGGTTACAATAACCTCTTATAAACACAATCCACAAATAAAATTTGCTAAAAATAATTGTTCTAAGTACATAATTTGTCCTAATATAACACGTATCTAGGCAACCATTTCAGGAAAATCGGCTTTCCGATACGTTATGGTCATTTTAAAACCCTTTACAACCGCATTCCTTCAAGCCTAATGCCTATTGTTAGGCCTCTTTGGAAAGCTTAGACCACTGGCTACAACTTTGACCTACTTATCTCAAAATCATTCTACCTAACAAAGAGAAGCGAGCTGTGCAATACGTCACATTTGTTGTAAAAGTGTGTTTAGACGGCTTCTACGTCATCGTGTAGTAAAGCCTGTAATTTCATTGGTCAACTATAAGTAATGTTACCAAAAATAGCACAAATTGGGTTACCGTATACCGAAATGCAACACGGTTACTTTCGTTTCGCAACCATTCTGTGTTGATAAAACTATCCACCGTTTGTCAGACTTACATTGGATTTATCAAAGGCTGCTCTTTTCGTGCTCACTATATTTGTTCAATAACAAGCCAAAGGTAAATATGGATGTAGTATGATTTACCATTTCATTATTAAAAATTGTTTTAGTAATAGTACTAGTATCAGTATCGTCAACGTCATGCTTTCTCACGTCAGTAGTGACAACCTACCCATACAAATTATTATAAATACAAGGATCATTTCAGTTCTGAAACTAACTAAATTATAAATTATATATATATATACTTGTTTCAAAGTTTTAATATTTAATAACTATCATTAACCAGATATATTTTATTATGTGCTTATTTACTTGTCAAGAATTGAGTGTAAACTAAAAAAAAAAAAAAAAAATTTGTTTGAGGTTAGTTATTTGAAAGGTGTGTGGGTGTTGTTGGGTTTGATTGACGTCTCTCATCATCAACAATTTAAAAGATAAGGAATTAACCACTTCATTTGTAATCCTTTCTTTACCTTGATGACTAAAATTAAATTGTTCTGATTTATTTGCAGTGAAATGGCACCAAGAAAACAAGCAGCGATTCTGCGAGCCAAAAGTACAGCTTGCTTCGAACAGGTACTATTCTTGGAAACATGGTGGCAGTAGAATCTAAGAGTGCCATGACACCTGATGCCAGGTGGGTGTAAGTGTAAGACTGGAAGTATTGTAAGGATTATATCATAATGATATATAATTGTTTTTTTTATATTGTCATCTCTATAGGCCCCACGAACAGCTGCTCAATATATTATCTATCTGCATTTATAAAAAAAATGTAATGCTGTTACTATATTTATTGTTGATGGAGCAAAGTGTAATTATATATACATTTTTAACAGATAAAATGAATCTTCAGCAGTGGCTCTGTGAGAATGCAGTGGCCATCGAAAGTTACAGATGAAAAGACCTTCGGAGGAATATTCTGACATTTTCCGCATGCTTGCAGCTGCCTGGCCTGATGAGAACCCTAAACACCATGACTGCCCTACTGGAAAGACATGTTACTGTTGGCAGTCAGCTATTGCTCAGAAGAGGTTCCACAACACATAAGAGGAAAAGAGGCAGTTTTATCTCAGAGCAGATTTATTTAAATTTTTCGCATTTTTTTTCTTTGGGGGGTGGGCTAGAGAATCAGTTATATTTTTTCCACAGAAAGACTTTTTAAATATATTTTTGATGTATCATATTTTCAAGAAGCCAAGGTGATATAATAATATAACTTTATGCCACTTTAATTATTTGAAAAATAAATTATTTCAATAATAAAACTTCTTTTTGCATTTTCTCATTTGTGTCAATTTTACGAGGGTCAGGTTATTGGAAGCAGTGTATCTCAGAAACAACCTATCAGATTATAAAGAAATTTGCACCACATGTTCCTAACATGTTTATCTACAATGTGATAGAGGGTTTTTATTCTATTTTAAGAGACAAAAAAATTATTTTGAATTTTGATAGAACAGTTTACGTAAATGATGGATTATTTTTTGACATAATTTTAAAAAATTCACCAAAAAATTATTTTTTCAGTTATGCTAATTTCCTTCTATCACATTGTGCAATGTCCTATTTTTAATATGTATGCCAAGTTTCATTGAATTCTTATTGGTGGTTATTGAGCTACGCTGTTTCCTGTAAGTATATAAAATTGCTCAATTTTACCCCTATTTTCTCATCAAAAGCATAAAAAAAAAAAATTAATTAGTCCCAATTGGTTTTTTTAAGTGTTTTTATTGCTTTTGCAATGTGATTAGCAAAAAATATTCTGTCTTAGTCATGTGTTTAAAATTTTAGCATTTTGACTACCTGTCCCCCCTTAAAATTAATACAATCTAAAAAGTAGGCCTAGGTTATCTTTATTTAAGTTAGTTAAGGCAACAACTTACTAATTAAGTAAATGACTTTGACCCTATTCATATTATTATTAATATTGGTGAATTTATCATTTATGCAATCCACGCCACTTATTTCCCATGCCCATAGCCGGCATAGCTTACATCTTGGTTGTCTTCACGACAAGTGTCTTAGCAGCCAAGATGGAGGCTGTGAAAAGAAGAAAAGTAGTGCAAACACACAGCTGCTAAAATGGGGAGGGGGAAAGAAAAATTGTGCTGTTTTAACTAATTACAGAGAGAAATGATAATAGTACAAAAACTTTAAAATTTAATTAAATGATTTCAGCCAGTACTTTATTTTCGCTGCAAACATAGCAACTTTATCCCATTAGATATGTGGCAATAAGTGTCAATGACCTGTGATCACCCCTTTTCCTGCCGCAATTTCGGCCAGTACATTAATTTCACGGTAAACATAGCCATGTTATTGCACTATAGGAACACCTCATGTGTTGGCAGCATCTGGAAAAACTGGCCTGGTCACCATTGGAAGAACAGTGACGATTATCCAGGTTCTCCATGCTATTCAAGATAAATAATGGGCTGGTCTCCCCAGACAGCAATGAGATGATGACAGGCAGTTCTGGCTCATAACAGCAGAACACAGAACACAGAACCGGAACTGCTCAATCCTACCAAAGACAATCAGGGACTGGGACAAGCTACCAAAAGGAACAGTTGAGGCAACAATACTTTACATTCCAAAAGAACCGATTGAGGAGACAACATATGACATTTGCATCTATTGCAGTGTTTCCCAGAGTGGAGCCCACGCCCAAAAGGTGGGGGGGGGGAAATTTTATAGTTAAGGGGGGCACTTTGAAAAAAAAAAGCCATCTTAAATTGGAAAACCCATCATCTACTGCAATTTAATTTGTATTTTAAAAGGAGAATTATTAGAATCTCAATATCTCAATTTAAAATAAGCGTTCAAAGTGTTGAAAACAATTTAAATTTTGAATATTAAAAATTATGTGTTTGCTAAAAAGGGGCATACGAATTTTAGAAAGGCTTAGCTGGAGGATGGCACCAAACAGGTTGGGAAACACTGATCTATTGCCTCCTGCCTTCCTACTCCCAGTTCCTCTTACCATCGCTGAGTAGCCCTTGCAACCAGTGAAGTATCCTCTTCAAAACCATGCACCGAAACATCGTGTCCCTGCTCTACAAACATAGGAGCCATAATGATCAATGCATTTATATTGGGCCATCAAAATTCAGAAGAAGAAACACATGTGCTACAGTTACACACTGTTGTAAGAAAAGGGTAAAAATTAAGAAAAACAGTATGAAATCATTTCAAAATAATCAAAACCCAACATGCAGTTTCTTAGAGGACACTTTTACTCCCTTTATTGCTGGCTCCACCAAAAAGAAAATCTATATTTCTGGAAAATTTAAAAATTCTAATTAACCACCCAATGATAATATAATTTAAAACATTTCATCAGCATAGTAAAGACAAGTTAACTCTAGTAACAATCCAAGAATAAAAACAAAAGGGAGAGAATCCTACACAGAAACTCCAAGTGGTGTGGATTAGCGTAAATTGACGTTATGTTTTACATTCCTTGAATTTTTTTTTTTTAAAATTGAGATTTCTAGTCACCTTACAAAAGAGTCAATAAGTTTTAGAAACCATGTCTAAAGTTCATGACGTTATATATATATATCTGTGGCGAGATGCATGAGGCTTATAAAACGTTTTGTTTCAAAACATATAATTTCAACATTTTGAAGTTGTGAACAAAATAATGCATAATTATTTTTAAAAAATGTGTAATAAAGATTTTTGGTGATCAGATGCAAAGACTGAAAAAAAAATCCTGGAATTATTTATAACATTGCTTATTCAGAAAGCAAATTCATTTTAGTATGTCATATGCAGAATTGGACATTTCATGAACATTTAACAAAAATAAGAATAGTAATACAAATTTTTTAAAATTTACCACCTTCCACAAAAAATTACAGGTTTTTAATTCTTTGTTACCTTTTTACAATTATTTACACATTACAAAACATATCAATAGACAATTTAAATTTCATGGTACTTAGACAAATTCTTGTTTTCTTATATTTTTTTTGCATTTCTAATTTATACCACACTGTAAAAAATGTTTTAAATCTGTGTATTCAGGAACTATTTGAAGTATTTTGTGTTATTTACTTTTGAGTCTCTTGGAACATTATCAGTTTTAGTAAATCCCCTAATGCTCATATAATTTCCTCTGTGAACAGTTAAATATTAGGTAGCTTTAGTTCATCTATTCCATAATTTTCTTTTCAACAATCCTGAAGAGATTATAGTTGGCAATATCAACAAAAGAGAAAGAAGGGTTTGTCCAGTGTCGTCTCTTTACTTAAGGTGATATATCCATTTATCAACTAGTCAACGCAACACATGACTGAATTGTATGATTTCATAATCTGATTTTAAAATTTTATTTTCTCACCAATAATATACCATTAGTTTTGGTTCCGTTCACAAAAGATTATCCATTTGCTGTCATATTATTTTAAATAAGTGAGATTGCTTTATTTTCTCCTTACTTACAATTGTTTCTTATCCACCACATATCACCTTGCTTTGTTTTTTGAAGAATGTCATAATTTGAAACTTGTAAAATTCATCCTTTGAAATATCAACCAACCTCTGTTGATGGAATGTTAAGAAAGTCCCATGGTACTTGGGTAGCTGGGTTATTTTACAAATGTTTAACCAAATCCAGTGTGAAAAATGTTTTGAAAAACCTTTAGGATGAAGAAAGTGGCACACTGTATCCATGTTGATATTTCTTCCCTCAGATGGCTGGGAGAAACTTAGGAGTGAAAACTGGTGGGTCATCATCTTGTACATCATATGAGTTTCACCTGTGAATGTAAAAGAACAACGAATATTATTCATGCTACTGTGAGGAATGATAAAAAGTATATAGGCCCATGCCTACTTATGCTTCAATTGCATATTCCTAGCTCCCAATATGGTGTAAATAACATAATGACTTTAAAATATGACTTCATTGTATATTTTATTTACAACACACACAGATGTCAAATTTCATTTTATTTATTATGAAATATATCATCATAGTTAACTCCAAATGGATGAATGCTATCAAAATAGAAATCAGAATCACTTGATTCTAGTTGTCAATTCTCTTCGTCAGAATCACTTGATTCTGGTAATCAGTTATCTTCCTAGTTTTCTGTGACTTTGGCTGAAAACAAATTTCCCCCTCCCCCAAGGAAAATAAAAGTCGGAACTAGCTGCTTTTGAATTTTGTCCCAGGCTCTGACCCACTCCAGTCCACCACTGATGATATATTTCATAAAGCTGTTGGCCAACTCTAAAGTCTAATAATATTTAACCAACACAGTACTACTAAGTACCAGCAGCAATAATGAAACTGTGTTTTATTATTTAGTAGTTTTGCTTTCATTGATTTGGCAATTAAAAATATAAATTAAAAAAAATGAGTAATGTGAACTATTATTCAAAGAATGCATCAGCACCTGCACAGCCGCCAACATCACTCTCATTTGACATTAAAATGTATAGCTCAGTGATAGCACACCTTTTGCTCTTGGTGATATTGTTCATATCTCTGGTTTGCAGAATGCTGGAGATAACAAGCTGTACTTTGGTACCCTACTTTATACAGTATTCCTTACAACATTGCAGTTAAAATGAATCCCCACTTTTCATTTTAATTAATACAGACAGTTTGTGTGTGTTATTTTCTTGAAAAAGGGTATGCAACATTTTTTAAACTCAGGGCATCTCATAAAACTGAAAATGTATCTCACCAATTAGTGAAGATAGAGTTTGTTAAGGGATCAATTTTGACGTCTATTTTTTCTTTACCTTTTAACCTCTTGGAAAGCATAGGTCGCCAACAACATATCCATGTTCATCTCATGTTGTATCTTTAGGTTGCTCAAACTCTCTCCAACCTCTTTGACCTATTTATTCATCGTTCCCCTGAAATAGTTATTTGATCTTTCAGACAGATGCATTACACATTTTGCTTTCCAGTGATCTCTTTAAGTGTGTGTACAATCCATCTCCATCATCAGCAAAATAAAAAAAAATATTTCCGTTTGCTTTATAAAATAGATTTTAAAGTGTGATAGCCAAATTGTCAACAGACAAATTGTCAACAGACAGATTGTATTTAACACCGACCCTTTAGTATGTGAAAATAGAAGAAAATGATCACATTGTTTTCAGGCCTCATAGTGCATCAGTCAAATTGTTGAAGCTGGGTAGTAATACAACTTTATGAAATTTCTAAAGGCAATTTGAAATATTAATTTTGCATCTTTTCTTTTACCCCTACAGATATGCGGAAAACTCCCATGTTACAAATATAATTATTTTTATTTAATGACACTGATATATACTGCTGAAAGAGAAGCATTGTTTTTTAATCAACACAAAAATCTATCATGACCGAGGAAGGCTTTAGTATTAACAAAAATGAGGATGGAGAAATCTCTGCCTCATTCAATGCAAGGAAATTCTATTATGAAGAAAGCACAGATGGTGCTATAATAAGCACCACAAGTGAGTCTGTGCAGGACCAAGAAGATCACGAAGACCAGGAAAGGAAGCTCAATGCATCACTGTCAACATCAGATCTGCAAAACCTCACAGAAACTGATCCAGCCCTTATGGAGGAGAACACAGGCAGAAGTTACATAGGTGAGCCATCATCAAGATCAACACCCAACACAAGGCACAATGCCCCCACTCTATCAACCTGTGGATCTGATAAGACTCCTTTGCTCAAAACCAGGTCATCAACCATTGATTCTTGCATTGGTCTAAATGTCGAGGGAGAGTCTGATGACATATCTGAGACATCTTGTGGTTGCAGTGATCCTATTGTTGAAGACCTGCCCCATCAAGGATCTCTTCACAGCAGCATCAACTCATCACAGTTACAGGGTAGAGATGGTCTCATGATGCCTGGAACAATTAAAGTTCCCATAATTGGGCATGAAACTATGGAAGCCCGTTCAAAATTTACGGTAGGTCAGTCAATATGTCTCTGTTCTATAATCGCTTTAGATACTTGCAAATGGTAAATGCTGGTTTGCTTTTTATCTAGGCATTATAATAAACCATTACTAAAATTAATTGTAGTTGGTTGCTGTTTCTCTCTTTAGGTTTTCAAGATTCATGTTATGATGGAAGAGGATGACTTGGGCTGGTTTATTTTTCGCAGATACTCAGATTTTAGTCACCTCAACGATCAGGTGAGACCGCAGTGGTTTGTCAATTTATTTATAAAGAGCTCATTACATAATGAGTTATAATTGAGAAAAAAAAGTAAATAAAAATTAAATATTTTGGCTTTAGTAATCTTGAAAGTACAAATGATTGGGATAAATTTATTTATTAATAACAATTTAAAATGTGTTTTAAATTCATCATAGAAACATATACTTTTTAATGCCAGTTACAAGCTTTTCTGATAATTTATATAGATCTTGCAAAAATGAGGTCTGAAATATTATTTTAATTAGGAATAAATCAAATTTTTTTTCCTCATCTTCAGCTGGCCGTTCTCTTTCCAAACTTTCGTCTTTCGCTGCCCCCAAAGCGTTGGTTTAGGAGCAACTTTGATATAGAATTTTTGGAAGAGAGGCAGCTTGGCCTACAAGCTTTCCTCAACAACATAACTGGTCACAGAGATATCTGTAATTGGTGAGTTAACTCTTTAACATTTTACATTAGAATTCTGATATTTTGGACTGCTATAGAATTGATTAGGGCAGAGTTTTGGGAAATTCCAGATTCTGGAGAAGAATAAAAATAGAACACCTTGTAAAATTGTTTTATGAAATAAGAAATACAGATTTCTTCATATGTCAAAATAAAATAATGTCCAAATTATTGATTACATTTGAATGTGATTAGCAAAAATACAGTGTAACTTGATCCTGCAGTTCTGATGGGCTTCTCTTAAATTATTAAATGTATTATATATTATTAATATATTAGATTTAAAAAAACAAAAATGGATATGTCCTAGAACTAGAATTGTACAAGCACCAGGTGCTTCAGCTGCAGATTTAAAAAAACAAACAAAAAACAACTGTGTAGACTGAAATAAATAATTAATGTTCATCAACCCTCAGAGATGCCAGACTGAACAATTACTTTTAATCCTCTAGGACTAACTTTTCTGGCAATTAGCTTTCTATTTGGTTTTCCCTCCTCAAATTTTAATTAGTAGTATTTTATAGCCCTATTTCATAAGTGGTTTGAAAATATTAAAAAAATGCATGACACTCAATATTTTTTACAATTTTTTTGTGTGACAAGAAAATAAAAATTTTTGTTTCATAACCTCAAAAAATATATCTATTTCTACTTTTTCAACATTACCAAATAATCCTTGGAGACCATCTGAAAACTGTTTCCAATTTTAAAATTGCTTTGGATGACCAAAGACTATTGATCTGAATTTTGTGTAGGGTTTTCATCATCCTTTAAAATTGTCTTTTAATCAGGAACTTTAGACAAATTTGATCTGAATTTGATATATCCTTCATTTAAAATGCAAGCTTTCATTATCTGCTTTCTGTGTATTTGTCGGTTAGCGATAATAAGTAAGATACATTAATTTTTTTTTTTTTCAAATGTTGCCTACCCAGATTTTTGCCCTCTGTTCACTACATGATATAAATTCAATCAAAATAATTATGAGTCCAGGCTAGGCATTGACTTGAGTTACATCCATCAGATGAAATTAATTGTTTGCTTCCCACGCCCATATTTTCTGATTTAAACTAGGAAAGTAACATCATTTTAAAAATACCATTATCAACAAAATGTTTGACATTGAGAATCTTGGGATTTTTGTGTGTTTTATTATAAAATATCTAATTTTTTTTAATGAGAAACAGGGTTTCCCAATTTTTTTTTATATTCTGCACCCAGTTATGAATTGCTTGACCTGGTATTCGACCCCCTACAAAAGTAATATTGCATTTTAAAATGGGAGAACAAATGGGCTTCTAATTTTCAAATATGGACTATTTTTTAAATTTATTACTTGAGTTAGAAGAGAACTGCAATAACATAATTTATTACATAAATTAAACTGTTAATGAAGAATTTTAAAAATATATAACAATTTATATCAAACTTAAAAGTCTGTGGCTCCTCTGTCCTTAAAAAAATCACCTTTACTTGTACCCCCTGAAATCTCACCTTGCACCCCATGGGGATGTAAGCACTTCAGGTTGGGAAACCCTAAAATAGAGGATTTTAAATTAACGTTTTATTAATATTGAACTGATACAATCTATTAGCGGTTAAAATAAATGCTTTAAAAAATAATCAATTAATATTTTATAACTGAAAGCTTTTTCATTTATAAAAAAACACTCAAGAGTATGTAATTTGATATTTAAAAAAATTAAGAAAATCGGAATTGGAAACTAATCAAATGTTAGCTTAATGAAATATTTGAGACAATGGGAAAAGCTAGTTACAAGACATGACACAGCAGTTACATGAGAAATTTTGAATTTAAGTTTTTTTGTACAAAGTTAAAATCAAAGAATACCTGTTGGATGCTGGAGACAACTACTGAATTTAAGGAAAAGTCTTAAAATCTTCACACTGGCAATATTTATTGTTAAAACTTATACATTTAAAAAATTTAGAATCCAATATCTTCTAAACAATTTGTTAGCACTAAGTCTTTCACCCATCTTACCCATTCAAAGACAAGTTTAGTTAAAAGTGCATCTTAATGAGCACAATTAAATTTATAAACAAATTTTCAGTTCATTTCAAGTTTCATATATTTTTTTTGGTTGAAACTAATAAGTCCAGTATTGCCAACTCAAGAAATGAAAATTTGCTGACATATTTTAAAGCTTCAAAATTTTTACTGACAAATACATTTTTTACAAACACATTAATCGACATTGTTTAAGATTTAGTAACAATTTCTGTTTTTTTAAAAATAAACAGTCTTAAGTACTTACTAACAGGCCACAGATGGTTGGCAACTCTGGACTGGTTACATTAATTTAAACATTTTTACATTTTAAAAAATCTGTTAAGAAAATCCACTCACTTTCAAACAAAAATTATGTCAACAAGGAAATTATATTCAACCCCACAAAAATTTCTTTTAAAATATTCTAAAATTAAAAATCTTAAAAAACAGACATTTTGTATGGTTTATCCAGATTTCTATGTTTTTGTTACGGCAACATGAGGTAGCTCAATTAATTATAACATCTGATGAGGTTGCCTGAATTTCAGGCATGGAAGATGTAGGGTTAAAAAGTAGTTATTAAAGAATCTTAGAAGAAAATGGCTTAAAAAAATAATCACATTTAAATATACATTCTTTTCATTTCTTCATTTAATTTATTTTCAGTAACTTCTGATGTGTGAAAATAATTAGAACTTAATCGGCTGATGTTTTGGGGAAAATTAAAAAAAACAAAAACATTACATTTTTAAAATAATTTTAACAATTTATTTTGTCAGCATAGCAAATTATTTTTTTTAAGCATAGCTTTGTGTAACTTTGTTTCTTCAGTCAGCCAGTCAAGGATTTCTTCTGTTTTGATGACCCTCCAGGACCCCATGATAGCCTGGAAGAAAGCAGAGTAAGTGAAAGCTAAACTGTTTGAATCTAGTGCCTTATCTACCTTTGGATAGCTAAGTGGATGCCCACTTGTAGTTGCCAGGTGACAGTTTTTTTCTTCCTTTGCTAGCTCCAAGAGCTTGTAAACTCTGGATCTAGTCAGAGAGCATACTTTTTTTTCAGCTCTTTTTGAATAGGCCACAAGGGGTCATAAAAAAAATGTCAATAAATTCATATCCAGAATTAGTTGACATGCTGTTATGCTTTATTATGTAAATCTCACATAGGAATAAATGATGACATTCATAAGGTGCTATTTTATTAGTCATAATTAGTATGATTTTGAACAAAATTAACTTGTTTTCTGTCTCACTCAGCTGGAGTTTGAAATAAGTTGTATCACTGTCGTAGGGAGTTCTCTCTCCTAAATGTAAAGATTTGCATATATGAGCTACTTTTCAAACAGGCTCAGTTTTTAAACCCTTCTTGTTTTTCCTATACTTAGGCAATCACACACAAAAAAATGAAGTTCATGAATACAAAAGTTTATATTTAATAATAATAATAATAAAGTTTATTTGAAAAACACGCTTCATCCCCAAAAGCTTGAAGCGCGTTACAAAGTCAACCACATTATAAAGAGAAATAAAAACAATCTGAAATTTACCACATTTAAAAAACAGACGCAACAATTTTTATAAAACTACATACGAACATACCAAGTCAAAGTATTTCATCCCGTTTCAACCATAAGCAACACAGGCCAATATACATTAACTGAAAAAGATGGTAGATAGCATCACCCCAGAAAGTGTTTGCGAAATAGATGTGTTTTTAAATCGGTTTTAAAGGACTTCAGTGTCTGGCTGTTTCTGAGAGCGACTGGAAGGGCGTTCCAAATTGTTGGGCCGGCAAATGCAAAAGTGCGCTTTCCGTAAGTCTCAAGGCGAACACACAGTATCAATATTTTGCCACTATCGGATGAGCGGAGCTCTCGAGTGGGTACATAAGGCGTCATGAGATAAGATGGCGCCAGGTCATGTAAGCAGCGGTAGCACAAAGTTGCAATTTTGTACTCTATGTGAGTGTAGACCGGCAGCCAGTGCAGTTCTCTCAGATGTGTTTTAGCATGGTAGAATTTGCGTTTGCGAAGAACAATGCGAGCCGCATTATTCTGTGCTCTTTGAATTTTATCCAGGAGCGTAGCTGGGAGACCCACCATGAGAGCATTGCAGTAGTCCATGTGTGATAACACAAATGCAGACATCAGCCTCTTTGATGCATGTAACGTTAAGAAAGGTCTGATATGACTAATCCTGCGCAGCTCTAGGAAAATTGCCTTGCAAAGCATGTTAATATGATTTTCCATAGTAAGTGTACTGTCTAAATAGACACCCAGGTCTCGCACTGTATGAGCAAACTCAATCTGCATACCTGAGAGAGTAAGTGATGGTGTGTTTGTTACAGATTTTTGTTTCTGAGCAGTGGCAATGGGGATCAGCTCAGTCTTTTCATCATTCAATTTGAGCTTGCTTAACTGACTCCACTGTCTTCTGTGTCGTACTAAGAAGTTGAGGAAACTGAGAGGGGATCACGGATTGATGAAGTTGTGTATCGTCCGCGAACATGTGATACAGCATGTCAAATTGCTTGATCACTGCACCCAGTGGCTGAACGTACATAGTGAAAAGCGTGGGGTCTAGGACCGAGCCCTGAGGTACTCCAAATTCAATTATACATTGCTTCGTGGTCAAGCCGTTTTAAATAACTGACTGGACCCGATTTGTCATATACGAGTGAAACCATCTCAGGACGATATCTGTGAGACCGAAGTTTTTTGCAGATGCTGGAGCAGTATGCCGTGGTCAAGCGTATCGAAAGCTGCTGATAAATCGAGTAAAGACAAAATGGATACCTGGCCCTCATCACAAGACGACAGAAGGTCGTTTGTGATGTGGAACAGGGCTGTCTCAGTAGAGTGATGCGCCCTGTATGCTGACTGGAAAGGTTCAAACAAGTCACATTGAATGAAGTGATCCAGTAGTTGGCGGAGAACAACTTTTTCAACGATTTTGGATATAAATGGTAGATTTGAGATGGGGCGATAATTTTCCATCACATTTGGGTCAAGATTTGCTTTCTTTAACAGTGGCGTTACTATTGCCTCTTTAAAAGTTGATGGAATAATGCCCGTTGTCAAGGACTTATTTATGATACAAGTGATGATGGGGACTATTTCATCCAGACATTCATACAAGAGCCTTGTTGGAAGAGGGTCGAGTGAGCATGACTTTCTTGGGGTATTAGCCAGGATTTTCCTCACATTCGATTCACTGACCTCAACAAATTCACCCATAGGAGGTATTTGATGGCAATGAATAAAATAATGACAAAGAAATTAAAGTATCTCAGGCTTCTTTTTATTTTTTTAAATTGCATTTGAATGTGATTATCAAACATACATAATAACTTGATCCTGCAGTTCTGATGGGCATCTCTTAAATTATTAAATGTATTATTTGAATTATAAAAATAACATTTTCGAATGTTCTGTATAATCAGAGTTGTTTTATCTTGAATATTCTGTCAATTAACCCAAAGTTCCCACAATTAACTAAAATCTCCCACAATTAACCTAAATCTCCCACTGTTAACCCAAAGTTCTCACAATTAACCCAAATCTCCCACAATTAACCCAAATCTCCCACAATTAACCTAAATCTCCCACAGTTAACCCAAAGTTCCCACAATTAACCCAAATCTCCCACAAATAACCCAACTCTCCCACAATTAGACCAAATGTTCCACCTTGATGGTCCTGAATAATTAGAAAGTTTTTATTTGAATAGTCCCAGGACACACTCCAGCCATAGTCCTAGGACACACTCCAGCCATAGTCCCAGGACACTCTCCAGCCTTAGTCCTAGGTCACATGCCAGCCATAGTCCTAGGACACACTCCAGCCATACTGTACAGCTCAAGATCTTTTTCTATGGTACATAAAATTTCACATTCTATGTTACCCCCAGGCTCAGTGTGAAAGTATGGAAGACATGGTCTATCGCCTTCGCAGTGAGCTGACTGAAAAAGATGGAGAGATCAGTCTCCTGAAGGAAGAACTGGAATTGTACAAAAACCAGGTGCAGCTGCTTACCACTAGACTCAGGTATGTGGAAGACTTTATTGGACATGCATATCTTGCAGTTGTTTTTTTTTTATATGAACTCTCCTTTGAACAATGATGTCCTGAGCCCAAAGCTCTTACAAGACATACCAGTCAGCTTCCCACCAAGGTAGGCCATGGAGCAGCATGCTTGGTATCCCAACCCCTGTGCCCTGACTATTGAGTTGGGTTTGAAAAAAGTAAATATTCAGATAGTTGATGTAAATATACTTTGAACATTTTATTTGTGGGAGTGCAGGCGAGTTAGGGGTGGACCTTTGGAAAATCCTTACTAAGCACCACAAGCTCTCGGTGGTGTTACACGGGATCTTGCCTCTCCGTGGCGTGCCTGACTAGTAGGGGGGAGTTTCTCCTTCTGAAGCTGGGCGGTGGGGGTGGCTTTGCCACGTCACCTCCGGAGAGGTAGCAAAGCCATTTCCAACCAAAACGTCCCGACCGTATGACTCACTGGGCACCGGGGGTGGTGACGCAAAGCCGACCCTTGGAGAGTGGAAGCAATGCCCAGAACCCTTCCTACTCAAGGCCGAGTTGCATGGCCAAAGTCCCCAGGGACTACTGGGCCATGTTTCACAGCCAGGGGTCCTAAGAGATTGAATCTCGACCTCCGAGTATTGAACTTTATTTGTGGGAGTGGCCACTTGCATGACTCCCAACGCTATGGGAGTAATGCAATAACATGATTACTTGCTGCCGTTAATGGATATGAGGTCTGGGTGGCGGTTTAAAACCTGTACTGATGATTTTAGCTACGCTGCCCTGAGGAAGCCGCTCCTAGGCCACCATTTCGTCCCAGCTTACGTCCCGACAGGAAAACTCACTGGATTGTGGGGGCGGGGGGGGGGGGTGGTGGTAACGCAACACCTTTCCCCTGGAGTGGAAGCAAAGCCGTTCTGAGTCACGGTGAGTGGACCGTGAACACTTTAAACGCAGCGTTTTGGGTTGACCGGACGTCCCCCAGGCCAGGGGGGAGGTTTCCAGCGTGCGTCCGCACGGTTTGGCAGTGGGGAGACCCAGTGTCTGGCCCGCGGAGGTGTGCCGGGGGGGGGGCGGGTATTAAGAGCTCGCACTCGACCACCCACCGATGCCATCTCCAATATGAAGTTATTTTTGGGAGTGAAGTTTACTAATGAGCAGTTTGAGCTAGGACTCGATCTAGTTGCTGGAAACATTGTTGAGTAAAGATATTAGCTATGACTTCTCACTGCCACTAATTGTTGTTATTATTTAAAGTGAATATGATTATATATTGTCACGTAAAAGCTTAAATTAGATTAGGAATTCCTGACTGAGGGGGAAGTAACCTATGGATATTCAGGTCAGCTAAAAATCAATAGTGATGTAATTTTTTAATAATGTGCAATAAAATCTCTCCTTGTCTTGAAAATCTGAGGATTGAATTGCTACTCCCTGAAGCATTTCTTACGATAAACTTTTTTTTTATTGGCTGCATCAATTTTTTGCAAAGTTAATCCTTTCGTGCTCAAATGTAACATTAAACATTTAATTTTTTTATTTTAAGACACAGAATAAATTATTAATTATTTCCATTTTTTAGTTTGAAAACTGAGCCTGTTGAAAATTACTTTTAGATTTAATATTAGTAAATAAAAGAGGAAGAGCACACAAAAAATGTCTTCTAAATTAGTAAAAAAATGAGTATAAACCAAATATCAGCATTTTATAATTTAGGCAGTACATTTGCGTCTGAACTATCATCTACAAATGGGTCTTGGGAAATATCAGATAAACTCTTACTTTGGGATTAGTGTATGCATTTCCATTTCCTCTCAAGACTTCACCTATTGACTCAGTCAAACAATTGTTCCTGCTTAGAAATAGATCTGAATTTTATCTACAGAACAGGCCATCACTCACTTCTTTAGAATGCGGGTTTCAATCAAATTTTCAAGTAGCAATATCTGAACTAATATATTTTAGAAAATGCAAATCTCGGACTGATCATTTTATTGGTTTGGCTGCAGTTGATCATTGATTTTGAATAGGCCACAAGAGATCATTGACTGGAATTGTGTCACCCTATAAAAACTGTTTTCTACAATGTTCCCTCTACGTTGTGCATATTTATTATTATTATCATTATAGGTCTGGGCTCACTGCGCCTCACATAAAAATATTGGCGAAAAAATAACAAACATGAAATTAAAAAGTTACATATGTTTAATTAATTTAAATACAGGTCTATAAAAATAATAAAAATATAAAATTTAAAGTCCTTGTACACACCAATTATGAGAAGGGACACACAATAAAATAAATTTATGAATTTTTAGAAAATTTAATATTTTTTAAAGGATTCAGTTTTGGTTGTCATTGATCTACCTCTGTCAATGGTAAAATAAAAAAAATATTAATTTGCTTTGATAATTAACAGTCCCAAAAATTATCTAATTAAGCTTCCATTTATTGATTTGACACAGTACTGGCATGCTTAGCCAATCCTTAGATTTTGCTTCACATCTTACTGCACATTTATTTTCAAAATTTTAAAATACTGTTGCATTTAAAAACTATTGTACACATGGTCTAAGAAAAAATAGAGATAACTTTGATCATCATACAATCTTTATCTTATAAAGTTGATTTTAGTTTCTGTTAGGTAATTGCATGGTTCTATTTTTTTAATTCCTAAAAATATATTTTTTTGTAAAAAATGTGAAAATTATGTGAACTTAATTTGAAAAGCAAAATGGAGTTAAAAACTTTGGACCCTGATGGAAAGTTGCCCTATTATAAGTGGCTAATATTGGAAAGGTCACCTTTTTTTGTCTATAACAGTGAAATGAACAAGCTGACCAACAGAGATAAATCTACAGAGAAACGCAGAATCTCAACAGGAAGCTCACGTTACGACATTGATAGTTTCCTTGGCTCTGGAGATATTCTGAAGTCACACAAAGGATATGAACAAAAGTAGGTAAATTTTACTATTTCGCTGTTGGCCAGGCATGGTTGGTATGAATGGATGAGGTGTGAAAGCAAACGGCCAGGCATGGTTGGTATAAATGGGTGAGGTTCAAAAGCAAACGAGATATACATTAACCTTGTATGTATCCAGGTTTTTATTTAGAGAGCTATATTTTTCTCTCCCTACTTCAGGAATGAAGCCTTACAAGAAGAAGATCAGCTTCCTGCCAATGATGATTAGTGTCTAGGATTTCTCCACTAGATCCAGTAAAACTCAGCAATCTCAACATTTTGCCCTCAGTCGTTTATTTTACAATCATATTAATACCCTGTCATAAGATGTGATGATTACCATATATACTTGTCTATAAGTCGAGGGCAGTTTTTTGACCAACAATTATGAAATAAGCAATGACTCGTGGAGTAGTTGAGAGTAAAATATGGGGCTATGAAATTCTGTGATTTTTATAATTTTGTCAGATTTTATACCTAGCAGCAATCACTGCACTGTTTACTAAACTATGGTTGGAGTCATTAAACCTACACTCTCCCACTCTCGGTAACTCGGCATTTGCCTGTATTCAATGTATAAAATTCTGTTCAAACTAGCGCTGACCCATGGATAAGTGACCTGTGTTTTCTAAATGAAGTTTACTACAAAAATTTCTCGACTTAAAAACGAGTGTATACGGTACATTATACTTTTCTCCACAGTTGGAGGTTGAGTGACTCAAGTGCCTTTAAAGTACAATTTATTTTGACACCTTTTTGATCATGTTTCCAAGTAATAGGCAACCGCAGCCAACTGAAATGTTTTAAACAACACAAATCAACAGCCATTTTTAAAAAAAATGCTTAATTTAACATTTGGTTGAGTTTCTGTTTTAATATTACCACAAATGTAACAAAATATATAATTAAACCATCGCTGCTGAAGGATGTGAAAAGTGGAGTTGATCATGTACATGCTTTTTTTCTTTTTGGTAAGAGCAAGTACTTCTTGAAAAATTTCAGTCATCATCACTTCACAGATTTTATGAAAAAAAAGTTAACACGTTTCCCCTCACGAAAAATTAGGTAAATAGAGTTACCCGTACTTTTGGGAAAAGATCTCATCTCGCAACATTGTTTGTTCAGCTGTATTCCGGTGTTTATTGTTACCAAGGTAACAGGGTCCATATTTGTTTAGGTGAAGGGTTATTGTTAAACCACGAGGTGTGGCTCAAATAGTTCCTGGTGAAAAGGAATTGGTGTCTAGTATCTAGTATTATTATTTTGCCTCTGGTTTGTTACATTATTGTATATTCTTTAAAATGGCAGTTGTGTACTATGTCATGCATGTTTATGTGCAGATGATTTTGTATTCTTTGAAGCTGTGTCCAGTGTCTTGATCTGTGGTTGCAGGTCTATATTTTAATTCAAGGGTAGGCAAACTGCGGCCCGTGGGCTGCATCCCGGCAACTGATACCATGCGGCCCTCAAAGGCATTTAGAAATTAAAAAGTATTACTTTGTTTTTAAGATATTTTGTTGAATTTTACAAAATTTCATGTACCATTATGGTTGTTTTAACATTTTTGATCAACTTTCTTTTAAATTTTCTATTTTTTTAAACAGTCCTTGACTTTTGTCATGTAATGCTTAAATGCGAATTTACCGATTTTAATGTTTATCGACATGTAAAAATTGGACATAATATACGTGCGGCCCCCCAATAGCTTTACATTTATCAATGTGGCCCTCCGCACAAAGAGTTTGCCCCCCCTGTTTTAATAAAAACTTTGATAACATTTTACAGACATTTATTTTTACATTGTGATAAGCTCAGATGGGGCTGTGTATTTTAACAGGGGCACCAATAACACTGGCACCTGTAGCACGACATCGAGGGGGGCCCTCCCCAATAATATTCTTTGAAATTAACCCCTACTAAACAACAGTAATATATGGAGTGAAAGTTCTCTAATTGCTTAAGTAAGTTTATAACGCATTCATTTTTTCTCCACAGCAGTATTTAATGTATGTGAAATAATTTGTAATAAAAGATATGTAGTTTCTTTTATTCCCTAAAAATTCACTTACAGCTGAAATTCTCTAATAAACTGAAAAAACCCCACTGAAATTATAACCCAACATACTAGACATTGAACTTATTTTCTTCTTTTGAGGACTTGTATGTCTCCAAACTTGTTAACCAAAACAGGATTATTTCTCCATTTATTAGGTAAACCCAGCGGTAATGGCAATCATAAGTGGCAATTAGTTGTGGAAGATACATCAATATAAATCAATATGTACCCGCAATTTTTCAGAAACACATAATATTGTTTGATTAAAAAAAATGATCTTTTTATATACACCTATCATTTTTATCAAAATTCATTTCAGCATCTGTCCCAGTGTTTGCCAAAAGTTGGCCGAAATTATAAAAATTTCTTGATTGGTAATCATGTTTCGCTTGGCACATGGCACAATATCCTTCCCTTGTCTGCCATTCTCTGTTCCTTAATACCAATTCATACGTGAGAGTGTGTGTCAATATTTGTCTGTGGCATTGTTGACATGTTGTTTGTTATTAATTACAAACTGTTAATGAAAACCTTAAATGTATGGTGGTTGGTTCTCCTGATCCATCTGTTTTATTCTTACTTTCTTCAGAAGGTTAATGTTATTTTAAAAACATTTCAGGGTCAGTTCTTGTTAAACTGGGAACTTGTCATGTTCTAAGGGGAACTTGCCATGTTCTAATGGAAACTGGTCATGTTCTAATGGGAACTTGTCATGTTCTAATGGAAACTTGCCATGTTCTAATGGGAACTTGTTACGTTCTAATGGGAACTTGCCATGTTCAAATGGAAACTTGTCATGCTCTAATGGGAACTTGTCATGTTCTAATGGAAACTTGTCATGCTCTAATGGAAAATTGTAATGCTATTATTTATGCATCCTACAATGTTGATCTAAAAAGATTTGATCTTAATTTTAAAAAAAAAATGCTTTTCTATGTTATATGGTAAAAAATATGAAAGTATGTTTGATGCCCTAGCCTTCAGCCTTGATTTAAACCTTAGATGGCATGAACACTTCATTTGGGTTTTATAATCTTTTTTTGTTAAAATATTTTTGAAATGTGAACAAGATTAGCTTCCCCTTGGAAGACTTGAACCTTTACGTTTTAACTTTTTAATGTCCAGCTTTTCCCATTTTTTTTCTTCTTTGCGTTATAATTGATTTTTAAAAAAAATAAATTTCCCCTTTAATTTGGTGCTATTGCATTTTATATTTCTCAAAGAGCAATGCAGATTATTTTTGTCTCGTGATATTCAAGATAATATATTTTTAAAATACACACATAACTTATCTGGTTTATCATCAATTTTTAATGCAAATTAAACAGTTAAGCAAGAATTTTGTATCATTATGCAGTTTACTTTGGGATTGTTAGTTTGGATTATATTTGTTTAAGTTTTTTGTTTTTTTTTGGACTGTTTTGAGCTTATGAAATAATTATTTATTTTGCCGTTTTTCACTTTTGAAAAAAACAATTATGTTGCTAGCAGTATTTGTATTAATTTTTTATAAATTATTTTTGAACTTATGAAATAATTATTTATTTAGCCGTTTTTCTTTTTAAAGAAACAACGAATTATGTCAAAAGCAGTATTTGAATTAAGTTCTATAAATGTACAACTGCAGCAACACTATTAATAGCATATGTCAGTGGCATCCAATTGTTTTATACAGGCAAGCCCAGATTGAAAATTGGATTAATCCCTATTTGGGTAAGTAAAATGGAAGCAAGTTTGCCACTGAAACAGTTGGCATGTAAGCAAATAGAAACTAATTGCTCTCAACAGAATAAACTGAAATATAAAAATGTCTATTTTCTAAGCTAGACTAACTTAGTAAGTAAGACTCATGTTCCTTTGGACATGATTGATATATAGATTATTTTCTTAATGATATATATATATATATTCTTAATGTACATACCCCAATAGTTTATGTTGAGAAAATTTATTTGCATATAAATGATTAATGTAACTTTGAATAGGCAATATTGCTAATCACATTTCAAAATCTCCATTTTAATATGTTTTTTTATGATATGTTTTTATTATGTTGTTTTTCCTCACCAGCTAATACGCTACAACCTTTTATGTTTACTTATAATTATTAAATAGAATTACATGATAGGTCATGAGATTAGGTGTGGATTAGGTGTGTAGATGACTGAGATTGTGTCCACTGTATCCAACATTTACACCACCCACCCACATGCACACCTTTCCCACTTGTCCACCTCCCCCAAAATGTACACCACCACCACATGTACACAACTCCCCCTGCATATATATCATCTCCACATGTACGCAATCTCCTGCAGGTATTCCCTCTTTCACATGTTCACATACTCCCATGTACACTATCCCACACATGTGCACAATCTCCCATGTACACCATCCCACACGTGCACAATCCCCATATGTACACCATCCCACACATGCACAGTCCCCAACATGTACACCATCCCTCAAATGTACACAATCCCCCACACCCTCCACTGTCAGTGCAAATTTCAAGGCCAACTTGACCACCTCAGCTAAGCATTGTCTTCCCTTTTCAAATTAATATCATTATTAATAACTGCGACATAATTTGACATGTTATATACATACCACCTTTCACCCACACATTTCTAATTATAAATTGCCTGTGGGATCATCCTCAGGATATTGTGTCTGATGGAAAGGAAATTAACATTAGTTTAACAGCTTCATAAGTTAAATCTCAAAATACATCCCTTGTGCCCCAAAATTTTTTCGAAGAATTTTTCTTTTAGACACATAACCCCCCCCCCCTCCCACCTTTCTCAAAACAGTCTCCCCAAGTAATTTAGCTTCTTGCTTCCCCCCC